CAGATGTCATAGAGCTCCTAAAAATAACTTTATTTTATTTTAGCATTTTATTTTTTTATTTTAGCATTTATTTTATTTTGTTATTTTATTGTATTATGAATATGGACAGATATCATAAAGCTCCAAAAACAACAAAAGAGAACCTTATTTTATTTTATTATTTTATTTTATTGTGCAAAGTAAAAAAAAAAAAAAAAAAAAAAAAGGGCTTTTTTTTTTTTTTTTGGGAAAAAAAAAAAAAAAAAGGGCTTTTTTTTTTTTTTTTGGGAAAAAAAAAAAAAAAAAGCCCTTTTTTTTTTTTTTTTGGAGACATATACCATAATGCTCCAAAATTACAAAAAAGTATTTTGGTCTTTTTTTATTATTTTTTTTCTTTTTTCTTTTCTTTTCTTCTTTGTGTTTTGTTTTGTTTTTTGTGTTTTGTTTTGTTTTGAAGCTTTGTGTGAGGACAATACCAAAATGTTTTGACACTTCTCATGCTAGATTTCATGTCAGTCAAACATCATTGGTTCTTGACTTTTTTAATTGATCGTCATTGATGTCAAACCTGGCTCTGTTCATCTTAATGCAGATTTTATCTGTACCTCACGGAAATCAATCATGTCTACAAAGGACTTTGAATAGTGCACAAATCGTATGGCCCACTTTTATGGTTCCTTCATGATCATTTAGGGAGTTTGACAGGAAAACAGCAGCGTAATCATTCATCAAAACATCTCCTTTTGTTTTCTACTTAAGAAAAGAAAGTCACACAAACTACATTTTCACTGCATTAAATGTCACTGTAAATTAATCTGTCCTTCAACTTGTAAAAAGTGATTCTCCCTCGTTAAACTAGTGTAAACTCACCCTCCTCCACTTTAAACCGCTCTCCTCCTGGAGTTTAAGAGTCGCCCACCCTCTTAAACCCCTGCGATGGCATGGTGGGTTTCCTGTAAAGAATTCAGATGAAGAGAGAACAACAGGGTGGGTCTCCTCAGAAGAAAAACAAGCTTTGAAAGATTGACTGCTGAAGCAGGAGGGGAGGGAGGCTAATTATACACACACACACACACACACACACACACACACACACACACTCAGTCTCTCTCTGAAGAACGATTCACTGTGCCCAGAGTCCATTCAATTGCTCTCTGCCTTGTTCACAAAGACCTGTCAGGATTTTGAGGGAAACAGCATTAAAGATGTGGCTTACTTAATTAAGCTCATGCCATCATTGCCAAAGTGACTTAAACAACACTTGCTCGTACACACGCGATTGTCTTCGGCGGAATGTAATGGTGGCACGGGATAACAGATTATCAGTTTGGAGATGCCACAACATTTGTTCTGCTTCATAAAGCCGGTGTTGTTCAGCATAAGAGTGCACTTCTGAAACGCAGAGATGTAGCCGCTGACTGGAGTCATTTCATTAGACGTTAAGTGGTTCCTTTTAGTGTTTTAGGTCAAGTTTGTTTGGATGCTTTTCTTATACATTTTTTAAAGCCATATTGTACCTCCCGTAAGACTCTGATTACAGACCGTTGAAATGATTTGCAGATTTAGATTTGTGCGTTTTTTGATGGAAATGTGAGTGGAGCTTGTTGACATGATGATGGGGTGTCAAACATAAGCTTTTCCTCCTCTGTCCTTCAGATTTCTTTTGCTTTTTGGGATGGAATGCTAGTGAGTGTGGTTGAGACGTATGAGTCAATCCCCAATAAGAGGAAGTGTGTTGTTTGAGGATAATAAAGGGGCGTGGCTTCATTTACACTCCCATCATACCGCCAATCACTGCTGCTGTAAGTTTCGATACATTTAAATGTAAGTTTTAGTCTTTGGCTTTACATAAATAAAATACTCGCAGCACTTGTTTTGCTGCGTTTTGTGTTGATTCTTATGCGGAACTGCCATAAAACATTGTCTTTGCAGCATTAAGGTAGATATAGATTATTCAATTATGAAAGAAAAAAAAACATCAGTATGTAAATTAGCAATGACTAACATTGTGGCACTAATTTTAATGTTAAATTTCTTGAAATGTCTATAGTTTACAGAAACCTGACGTGAATAGCAGCTGAGACTGAAATTATTAGAAGTTGCAGAGTAATTAAAATTCTTTGTAAGATTTTGTGTAATAATGTGATGATATATTTATATTTTAGATATTATATGAATTAAATGCATTAAATTATATATAAAATGCAAATAGAAAAACAAAAACAAAGTATTTCAGATATATATAAACTATTTATATTTCATTTTCAGCTTTTATAAAAAAGTTATTTGGAGCAATTGTATACTTTTATGTAATATTTTATGTAATAATGTGATAATATATTAGATATTATGTCACTTAGATATGTCATTTGTTATTTGTATATTGTTATTGTTATTCTTATATTATATAAACATTACATTGCATTAAAATTGTATGTATATATATATTTTTTTGTTTTTGTTTTATGCATTTAATGGAAATATAAATTTTATTGAATTTCTAGCATCTAGCATATATTTATTATATTATAATAATTTGTAAGATTTTATGCAATTATGTAAGTTCACATATACTGTATGTGCTTTTAATGCAAATATAAAAATATAAATTGTATTTGGCTAAATATTACATGTTTGTTTATATTATTAAATTGATATTAAAATATTAAATACTTAATTATGAAATTAGTAACAATTGTTCTTTTTTTCTTTTACTCAATTAATTACTAATTAGTCACTCAACTTTGTAATGATGAAAATTTAAATGTACTCTCTAAAAAATGCTGGGTTAAAAAGGGACAAACCCAGCTATTGGGTTGTTTTGACCCAGGAATATTAGTACGGTGATGATGACTATACAGTATGTAGACTTACAAGTGTATATTTCATTAAGAATAATTCAATGCTAGCCACTCCATTCTCATCTACACTTTTTTTTAGCTGTCATTATTTCTGTCATTTCTCTCTATCATGTTGTTGGTTTGTTGTCATCAACATTAGCACTGTGGTTGTGGTTCTGGTTCCGTGTCGTCCCGGGGGAATCTCTCCAGACTCTCTTTACCTCCATCAGCTCTCTCTCACTCAGTCTCTTCTGTGTGTCACTCAACAACAGCTCCTTTCTGCTCCTCTTATCACCCGCCGCGCGGGGTCAGCGGGTCAGACCGCCACCGAGCATGCTCAGATCCGCTCGTATCGATTTTAATTTAGCACCGTGCCCCTCGCCATCGCCGTGAATGCCAGCAGAAGAGAGGAGAGGGGGCGGCCGGGTGATAGAGAGGGATAGATAGAAGTCTGGTGTGCGATGAAGAGTTGGACTCCATTCTCTGGTCCGAGTGTGTCTCTTTCAGCCCTTTTCTTTGGGTCTTCGATCTGGCGGGCTGCTGGCGGCCCCCTAGAGGGTTGAGGGGCCAGTGTTGAGAGGGCCTCCTTTGTGGGGATTCACCGGGCAGGACTGACAACACTGACAGCGGTGATAAAAAACGCAGCTTCCCCCCAACGCACACACTCCTGTATTGTCCACGATAGACATGCTGTTCACAATGTGTAACCTTTCGATAGCCAGACAGACTTTAACCCTCTAGATTCTGATGGAAACCGGTCTAAGGGAAGTTAAGGCTGAGCTTGTGTGATTTGTACGTTTAACCTGCTTCCCTTGTGACCTCTGTCATAATCAGAACTGAATTACTCTGGACTTCCTCGAAGTCAAAGATACGATTATGTCGGAAATTCAGACTCTGCTGGGACTGTCGTGTATTCATAAGTCACAAAGTTTATCTAATGTATCAAAGTCACATTTAACCAGTGATGGTCAAAGTAGGAGAAAGACTGATATTAGGGCTGGGCGAATTTATACACTATAATATTATAGGCATTAAATACACTGCATTATTTAAAGCATTATTATTATAAAGAATTTAATGCAAATAAAATATAAATAATATATAGCTTAAAATTGTCAGCCTTATACACACATACCATTGAATATTGTTAAATATCCTATAAATGTTTAATTTTATACATTTACTCTATTTATTTGCAATCAGTTTATCCAAACTGATTGCACTGTATTTTATGTATAATATTTTTTATTCTTAACTGTATTAAGTCATTTTAAATTAATTTTTAAATCATTTTTAAAATGTTTAAATGCCTTGTTTTTATTGTTGTGATTATTTTTTAGGATTATTTTAATTCCTTTTATATGTAAAGCACTTTGAATTACCATTGTGTATGAAATGTGCTATATAAATAAACTTGCCTTGCCTTGCCTTTGTGGAAAATTATTTGTAACGTGAATTTCTATTGTTTTGTTCATTGAACAAATGAACTAAACAATAGAAAAATATATATGTGATGAATATAATATATAATATAAAATTAACATTTACACACACACATATATATATATATATATATACACTAATTTTAAAGGCATTAACATTTTAAAGCATTATTATTATAAAGCATTTAATGCAAATATAAATAATATATCTAGCTTAAAATTGTCAGCCATATACACATGTATCATTGAAAATGGTTAAATATCCTATACATTTGTTATTTTATACATTTATTCTATTCATTTATTTATAAATTGTGGACAACATGCCTTAATTATGTGTAACATGATATTTATCGTTTAGTTCATAAAAAAATTTTTTTTAAAAATTGGTAAAATTTCTGAAAGTAGAAAAATATATATGCAATTAATATAAAATAATATACTAAATATAAATATGATAGATAGATAGACAGACAGACATAGCTATAGATAGATTACTTAATTATTTAAATTTATATAACAAAACCTAGTACTAAGCAGCAATATTTACCTACATACAGTTTTGCTAAAATATTCTGAAGTGTGGATTTTATAAATTGATTTAGTTGATTCAGAGTTTTGATTTGATTCACTACACTGGAGTGGTGTTCGCTATCAGGATGACCACTGATAAACAAAGCCGTGTGTTTATCCTCAACAAGAATAAAAAGCTGAGCTCTGTTTGTGTCCTGATTCTCAGGGAAGAGAAGGAGCGCTGGATCCGGGCAAAGTACGAGCAGAAGCTGTTCCTGGTGGGGCTTCCTCAGTCAGACGTGCCGCTGGGACAGCAGCTCCTACGGGCCGTGGTGGAGGACGACCTGCGGCTGGTGGTTCTCCTGCTGGCCCACGGCACCAAAGAAGAGGTCAACGAGACGTACGGGGACGGAGACGGACGTACCGCCCTGCACCTGTCCTGCGCCATGGCTAACGTGGTCCTCACGCAGCTGCTCATCTGGGTAAGAACTCGCTTTTTGGAAGCGCCTTTCGTTCACAAGTGTTCGTCCATCATTCATTTCCTCCTCTGTTTCAGTACGGTGTGGACGTGAAGAGTCGCGACGCCCGTGCTCAGACGCCCCTGTCCTACGCCCAGCGAGCAGGAAGTCAGGAGTGCGTCGACATCCTCATCCAACACGGCTGCCCCGGCGACGGCGGCGGAGTGTCGACGCCCACAGCCACCCGACACAATCCCAACATCAACAACAACGCTCAGTGCGAGCTGAACCGTAGTGTTAGCATCATGTGATCGTGGCTCGCAGTGTCTCTAGTGTCTCTTCTCAAAGATGTTGATGTTCCCATAGATGCTGCTCTCGTTAAATGGCATCATTTCCCTCAGCAGTACAGTACGTCTTTATTAGGAAACTGTGCGTAGTGCCACATGTGTCACGTAAAGCCATTTCCCTCATGACGACTTCCTGTGACCAATGTTAGCGTGCAGCGAGAATTAGCAGTGTTAACATTATCAATGCGTGTTGTTTTTAAGCTGAAGAAAATGACGGTTTTAAGGATCCTTTCTTGTGTGTGTATAGAACAAAAAATGAAATGATGGGCAACAGGTTCTAAACAAAATAAGTTTTGTTTTTTAGGTGCATCAGTTTAAAAATAATCGGACAATAGTAATGGATCCTCCGCTTTGCGCCCACGCGTTTTTGTCCATCAGAACATTAAATTATGTTGTTATTTACTGTCCCTCATGTCATTACAAACTTTCTTTCTTCTGCTGAATACACACACACACACACACACACACACACACACACACACAAAAAGATATTTAGAATAATGTTGGTAACCAAAGAGTTTTGGTTCCCATTGACTTCCATTGAATTTTTTGTGGATATAATGGAAGTCAGAGGGAAGCGAAACTGTTTGATTACCAACATTCTTCAAAATACATTCTTTTATGTTCCACAGAACAAAGAAAGTCATATAGGTTTAGAATGACATGAGGTGGAGTAAATAATGATAGAAATTTCATTTTTGTGTGAACTATCCCATTAAATCAGTGATTTTGGTGAAACCTGTAAAGAACATGTCTGCGTACTTCACCCTAAAATCAAAAGAACAAATATTTACTACTTTAATTTTGAGGTTTAATTGAGTGTAAAATATTGTTATTTTTTAATCACTACAAAATACTTTATTACAATAATAAGAATAATATTGACAGAAATAAACAGTAAAATATGAATTTAAAAATATCCAGATGCATTTCAATAATGAAAATTGTGGTGGAAAAAATGTGGGGGGGAAATTCGCAATGCAAAAAATCTCAATGGTCCTTCATTTTTTAATGCTAAATATATTTTCTCGTTTTTTTTTATTTTTGGGTGACCTGGACATGTTTTTGTGAGTTTCACACAAAGATCTAAATGCTTCATTAAATTCAACTTAATCATGTGATTATTTTTTTTTTTTTTCAGATTAATGCTAAAAATCAAACATTTAAGTGCATTTTTCACTCCAACTTCACACTTTTAATAGTTAAATACCACCATTGTGCCCTTGAACGAAGCTCAAAAACACTAAGGCTGCTGGGTAACGCATTACCATTTGTAGCATCAGTGCAATATATCAAAACCCAAATCATCACTCTCATTGCTATTTTACATTTAGCCTCTCCGTGATTGTCTTGGAAAGGCCTGATTACCTGACGAATACTGTGTTATTACGGATGCCTTGTGCGAATCATTTCTGGACCGCTCTGAAGTGGTCTTCTAACTGTTTGACACTGTCCTGCCTAATGACAGATCCATTCAGTAGCAGCGGACGGTACCGACACACTAGATTACGAAATAAGACTCTCGCCGTCAACTCCTTTGTTACGAGTCTAATGACCTCCACACTTGTGACGGTGTGGCTGTTTTTGTATCCATTAGAATCCAGACGTGTGTTTCTAACTGAATGGGACGGATGGGATGGTGATGTGGATAATGTACAGATGTGTGTATAAAATAGCTTTTCCTGCTCCCTCTTGCAGCTAGCTGTGTGTCGAGTGGGCAATTTCTGGATGAGATGGCCATTATGTACCCATCTGAAACCTATCAGCCTTAACCCTCGTTTGCTAGTGTGTACGCCATCAACTTTTACTTGAAATATGAAATCATGATTAGAACTTAATATTTGGCACATGTGAGTTAAAGGGAAAGCGAGAGGAAGATGTCCTTACCTGACAGTATTTTAAGTTTACATGTTTTTTAGGTGTTTTACCTTCTAGCAGGTACGTTTTCTTTCTTATTCGAGTCAGATTTGTACATGCAACCCTCATCTAACTAAGCTTTAGGAGAATTGCCATTGATTTTAAATGCAACGGCTTTTAACATCTTTTTAAACCCATTTTAATTCTGGAGGCTCATTCCCAATGACATGCATGGAAAGTTACCCTCTTGATCTTCATAAAGTGAACGTATCATTTTTTTTTTAAATATACATTAAGTTTGGGCTCCTGTGTATTACATGAGGTTGCTAAGATGAGCTTTTAGGAATATGGGAGTTGAAAATGATATTAAACACTCGCCTGTCATCCCTGCGACTGCCGGCTTATTGAATGCTGGGATGCACCCATAAAGCTCCTCAGTAGCCATATAGCAGAGAGAAGCACCGTTTAGTTTTAAAGTTTTTTTGGTACCTGGTTTTGGGTCTCAATGTGTCAGCATTGTCTGGCCGGCCGTTAAGGTACTTTGTGTATTATATGTACATTTGACATATTTATAAAAGCAAGATGTAAATAATTCCTTTTGTTGTTGCTTTTATTGAGCTGTTTGATAACTTTGTTGTTTCTTTTAATTTGCCATTGTTTTTTAATTGCGCCTTCTGAATGTGATGGAGTGCTTTCATGAGAGTTAGCTGTTGTGTGATTGGATGCTTGGCTGGCTATTGACATAATAAACACTCCAATAAAATGATTTATACCATGAATGCTGAGAAAGTTTGTCATTCATTCCTTGATCATATGAAAATGTGTGCTTAAGACTGTCAAAATGTCTTCAAGCTTGATTGTGTGTTTTCTCAACTCAACACATGATCATGGAAAATCAGAATATATCATTTTATAAAAATATTTTCATGAAAAGTTGATGGAAACTTTTAGCTTTTAGTTCATATAGGTCATCGATATCTAGTGTAGTCCTAAAAGCTGACTAATTAGCTTTTAAATAGTATGTTTTGTATATATTGTGTTCGTATTTTGTCCGATCACAAGAAGTACACTAGCATTCCTTATAGGAAACCAGATCAAAATATTAATAGCATCATCTTTTACTTGTATGGAGCTCTGCAGTGATGATGTAGTTTTGTAGGCCAACCCAGGTTACCTTAAAAAAAAAAAACATTTTCCAATAAAATGTTATGATTCTTACACATCTTGTTCATCATGACACTTTTCACAAATGAAACCAACTTGTATGAATTTTGAAGCCTAAATGCAATTGCCAAATACAAATCTAAAGTTAGGCTTAACATCACAACTAAATTTCTTTAAAATTAAAAAAAAAAAGTTGGAGTTAGAATAGTTTGCAAAAGCTTGTCAAAAAATCCTGATGGATTCCAATAAGAAAATAGTTCTAATTAGAATTTCTATCATAGTTTGAAACCATACCAATGAGATTCATATTGGACTTGAGATTCCTGTGAGATTTTTTTATTTTTTTTTTTATTTTATGTATATTGTCTTGGTAAACAAGCTGCTGCAAAGAAAATGAACAGAATAAGAACAAACCCCTTTGTAACAGAAAGTCCTACAGGAATCTTAATGGTTCCAAAATATGATAGAAATGAATTAGAATCCTGTACACTTTTCTTATTGGAATCCTTTAGTATTTTTTAACAAGTAAAAATTGGCTAGTGAGTTAGATGAGTTTACCTTTTTGCTGCCTTGACCATTTAGCCACTTATTACATATGTAATATCATAGACTAAAAGCCTGTGTTAACTACAGACCTTATTTCAGGCCTTAGTTCAGTGCCACCTGCATGGTTGTGACGTAAACAAAATTAAGCCATCTGGTATTTTTCCTGGAAGATTTTAAATGCGCATTTGTGCTTAAAACTCGTTTTGGTTACATATTAGCATATAGATGCTCCGCTCAAAGCTTCCAGACATGGACTAAAAGCCTGAAAAAGTCCATTCTGCTTTCATATGCTGTTTAATTGTCATTTGATGTTTTCTTTCCTCGCATTCTCTCAATCTTGCGTTTATCCCTTGTTCTTTCTCTCCCGTCCTTGTTTGGATTCTCCGCGTCTCTCTCTCTCTCTCTCGCTCGCTCTTCTCAGTGCGTTAATTTGCCTGAGAATGCATTAGCTGTAATGAGAGCTGAAGGCCGAGGGAATCCTCCAGGGGTCCATTAATCATGGCCCCTCAGACAGCCAACCTTGATTACAAGTGGCAAGAAATTCATTAGAGCCGCGCCTCTGACAACTTTTATCTCCGCCACTAGCTCTGACTCATTAGGCAGCCAAATTAAGGCTATGATGGCACTGATGAAATTCATCGCTTGTTTATCCTGTGTGATTTGATGCATCTGCCCATACATCAGCGGCGTGGGCGTCCACCAGACACTCCCCAGGATTCAGGCCTCGCGCTTCCCGTCCCTCCTCTTCCAAGACTCGGCCGCTTCCGCCGAGGAACGGGAATAGCCGGTACCTCGCGCTTCCTAACGATCCGTTAATGAAACAAATGCTTGGATATCAATTAAACAATTAATCTGATTGTCATAATGAGAGTGTTCCGCTCTTGACAAGCTGTGCTGGTACTCCCATCACCGCATCCTCGGAATAGCACCTTGTGGAATATCTCTGTAGGCTATTTGGTTTGCGATTCTTTTTTTTTTTTTTTTTTGTGGCAGTGCTATAATAATTAAAGCTAGTATAATTGGCATAATGAGAATGAGTCTCTAAATGAGGGGATATGTAAATGCAACAGCTCATAGGCATTTACCACTAGCGGTTACTGGAGGCTGAGGCAATTAACTCACACACTACACACTCGTGTCAGAGCGGCATGCTGACAATACAAGTCAAGAAAGTTCAGAGATTCCTCATTAGTTTATGAGATTGTTTTCTGCGCGCGTAATTTATGGGATTGTTTTGGGGAATTGTGTTTCGCTCTTTAAGTGAGCTCATTTCATCAAATAAAAACAGTTCGATCAAAATGTGAAGACATGAGCTCTGCAACAGGTTTTTCAGAAGGTCAGGGTGCAGTTTTATGGAGGGTGTGGATTCACGGCTCAGTGTCGCTTTCGTTCTGCCTATTAGCACTTATGAGAGAAAACAGTTGCTGGTGTGTCATACATCATGGTACGTTACACTTGGCATCCTGTTGCTGTTTCTAAGCAGCTTCCAGTTATATGGCCACTGGTCGTGCCTAATTCCTGTATAGCTCAAACAGCAGAGCATATGCCAGAATCATGAGATAAATGCGTGTAACTAATGCATAAATGTGATCCTGTCATGTACACACAGCAGCAGAATATGGTTGTTGTCAGTCCTGTTTCTTTCTACATGACACTCCAGAGAACTGCATAAAGAATGGCGATTTACTAGATGATAATGTCTCTGGTTACTAATAATACTTTGGTCAGAGGAGGCAAGAATTGTTGCACCCCTGATGAGAGGACAACCTGCTGCCATGGTTACCACTGTGTCAATCATCAACCAGTTTGCAGGTGTGACTCCTGTATTCCGTTCACACACAGAACAGTGATTTAGATTTAAATGCTGTTATCATTCTTAAAACTTTCCAGTGTGTAT